GCGAGTAAGTATCACGAACATCTGGCCAAGCCCTTATCACCATGGGAAAAATGTCTAAGGAGGCTGTGTTATCCCTGCTCCAGGGTCCGATTTAGATTGTGTCTGCGGTTCAGCAGCCATAAACTGTCATAGCTGTGATTCTTGTTAATGGGAATCATGAACAGTGATTGTTAAGCGTTTGTTCGCCTATTTCATGAGAGCCAGACCTGAGGCTGTTTTGCCTTCAATGCCACGCAGCCTCGCTCACGCCTGACCCACGTGGGCAGAACTAAGTCAAGTCAGAAAATGAAATTAAGCTGGCAGAGGAGGCGTTAGAAAGAAATGGCAAACAGACCGGGTGGGTGTCAATATCAGTGACATTCACCTGGACCGAGTGTGTTGGGGGGTTCAGGTAGTTTCATTGGGGCCGAGGTCAATTGCACCAACGAGTTGGGGAATCCTTTTCTTAATGGTACTGCCACGTGAAGACATTCGTGGACTCCTCAGTGAAGACCTTTCATTAAACCGTGGTTTCTCTCCGACTCACATGACACAGGGTGGCAGGTCTACCACCTGAGCTACTAACAGGAAGGTTGGTGGTTCGATCCCAGTCTGCTCCAGTCTGCAGATACTAGCCCCATGTTGCATCTATCGGAGTGTGGATGTTAGTTAGGAAGCACTTTAATAAGAGTAGAAAAAAGTGCTTGGCTGAATGTACACGTTGTGTAAAGCCCTTTGAGTGCTCAACAGAGTAGAAAAGCACTATATAAGAACCAGCCCATTTACATCACTACAGGATTTATTTATTAGACTTGGCACCTTTGTGATATAATTATAGAGAGTTGTGTTCAGACAAACGACCACCAGCTCAGTGAACAGTTTAAATGATAAATGCAGAAGGTGAAAGAATCTACAGCTGAGCACAAACGTGCATTTCAACATGTGATATAACATGAAGCCGTTTAAAGCAGCGTCGTGCAGACGTACTACGATTCCTCGGACAGGAACCAGGGATTTTTTTAACCTTAATGGCAGAAGATTTGAAGCAGGCTTTCATGTCTGAGTCCTTTTGTCTGATTAGTGCACTCATGCTCCCAACTCCCATTACTACCTGACTCTGACAATACAAGCGATGACTCATTTAGTAGATTAGCAAAGGAAAAAATAATAAAAATATTCGTCAAGCTTCCAAGTGCACCGATTTGTGTTTAATGAGGGGGATCACGACTGTGCACACACTGGTCTTAACTCATCTGTACAGCTGCAACCCACGGTGTCGCACCTCAGCTAACCTCACACCCAGGTACAGATACCACTACAGGCCGACGTAAAGTTCAACGCGATAGAACGAAGCTGGAACTTCCAACATGCAACACAAATTCATAACCTCACATTACAGGCTCGAGTTAAAACTCCAGAGAGTCAGTGCACAGAATTCCTTCATTTCCTAACAAGACTTAATTTCACATCTGCAAGCAGGAACATGAAACCTAGTTTTGACATGCAGACACACAATGCAAGACTTTTACATTAATATTACATGAAAATGTTCCGTCCACAAACATGCACGCACAAAGGTTAAAGGGTGGTTAGCACTACGTTGTTGTGTTTCCTGTTCAGCTGACAAAGGATGAGTAACATTACTTTAACATAATGATCATTCCTATCAATCAACAGGATCCGAGACAAAAAGGAAATCTCACTAAGACTCCCACTGGGAAATAGGACCAGTGTCCCAGAAATGAGATGGCCCCATCAGATTAACACAGAGGCCTGAGAGGGGACTGGAGTAACAGAAACAGCTCAGACATGACAGGCAGTTTGTGGTGAAAAATCACAGGAGGCACAAAAACTGTCCAGCAGTCAATATAATGACATTATGAGAGGACAAAAAAAGGGCTTAAATTTTATCTAATGTTTCACAACATCTCAGGAAAGGGAGGCATCAGGAGAATTGTGCTTTGCCTGCCATATACGAAGCGAGAGCCACAATTAGGTTTCCATAATTCACTAAAAAAAGCCATACAGTTGGCATATTTCACAGTGAATCTGAATGACAAAAATACTGAGCAGCAAATTAGGATTAAAGAGAAAAGCATTTGGCCAAGCAAGCCACTAGAGAACTGAACCAGTGCCAGTGCACCCACACACTCCGGCATGGAGCGATTCCATGCCAGCCCGGAGAGAAGACAGGGAATACTCCTTCCTTTAATCAGACAAGATATTAAAAGAGCATCGATAACCTAGATGCTTGAATTAAATATGTCTTCACCTTCTCAAATCAAGTCAATCCGGCTACACTCCCGAGTGAGGTCACGAGAGGACTCGGATCCTTAGAAGAGGACGATAAAACAAACGTGCTGCAAAAACGTTCCCAGCAACATCCCAAGGAAGCGGCAGTAATGTGAAACAGTGAACGGGCTGAATGATAACCATGTCACAAAGGTGACATTCCTAGCTGGAGGGAAAGCCGCCGTCTTTTCTGTAACTCGGGCCCATTAAGGTAGTCTGTATGCGGTCTTTCTTTCTGGCCCGGCTCGCTGGGGAGCACCATTACAGGGAAGCAGTTTGGACTTTGACCCTGGTGCCTGCAGAGAGCTGGGAAACACTTCTGAGCTCCTCTGCTTCCTGTCAGTGAGAGATGCAGGAATCAGACAGGTTCCTTAATATTCAGCCTTTTCCCTGCTGTTAGTGGTTACGGGGGCCTGACGATGTGCATTCCAGCACTTGTGCGATTTTCACAGTCTAGGAGCAGGTGTTGCTTCGCTTTTGATTGGTGGTTGTTGTACTCCAGAGAAACACATACCAAATGAAAGAGGGGGGAAAAAATCTCACACTTCCCCCTCCCTCCCCATCAACTTTCTTTTGCCATTACCACTTCTCTGCCCCCTCCTGTTTCAACAAATGAGCTCACTGTTTTTACAATGATTAGTACTTAAGGGACTTAGCAGTAAATGTACGAGGTGTAAGTGGTATGAGTGTGAAGACAACTACACAATACACAAATTCATGCAGAGACAAAGAAAATAAGACAAATAGGAGCGCCAGCATGGATCCTGTCAGTGCGGCTTCAGTGACGTGACGTGAACCCCCCCCCAGGCTATTAGTCCCAACTTAGATGAAGGTTTCAACCAACTTCCTGCAAAATCAAAAGGTTTGTATTTTCCTCTTTATAATGGACAAAACTGAGACAAAGCAAGAACTGGAAACGATCGAAAAACAGTTTGGGATACAAACACACAGAGCTTCAGGCGCTGTAAGCAAACACATCCACATAACAACGCTTTCCCAGAGCGTCTCCTCGGATGTGAGGGACGATTTCAGACTGTACCTGTGACTGCTGGCAGCACACGATGCTTTGAAGAGGACACAGAGCTTAAGGGAAACAAAACGCCTTCGAGCAAATGCTTTTCAGACTCAAACCATCAGAAAAAAGGTAGGAAATAAATATATGTATCACACCCACCACATAATCCAGCACTCGTCTTTGAAAGCATATGCAAGAGCTGAAAAGCCAGGTACACACAGGAAGAACAGAAAGCACACCAAGCCGGAGCTAAACAGCCTACGAGCGATTAGAACTGCAAAGCCTTCAGTCTGCCTAAGTAGCTTGGTGTCCTCGACGGTGGGCGATTATCTTGCGCTTGGCTTTGGGGGGATATCAGACTGTCAGGGCGCAGTTAGAGAACAGCCAGCTGGTCGTGGCATGGAGAAGCGTTTCTATCACGGTGGAGCAGATGAGCAAAGCTTTCCTGGGGGCAACAAATAAATAAGAAAGTTGCAAGTACTAAGAATATAACTGCTCTGAGACCAGCCGGTCAACCGTGACGACAGCCTGCCACTGATCGTTAGCAGACAAACTTCTGGGTGATGTCAGTGCAGCAGTAAGAATTTACCGCTACTATTTCACAACCCTTATGTGGCAATAAGCTGCGCACACGTGGCCGCAGTTTAATTTGATGCCGTTTTAAAAGCAAAGAAACAGAAATGACGTGTGACAGGATGAAAGAGAAGAGTCCAGTGTCCAAGGCGGAGTGACTACCACACCTAACGCGCGGAAAGAGGTCTTTGTGTGACGGCAGAGTCACGGTCATGGGTTAGAGCGCTTTAACCTTCTGATCCTCTGCCCTCCTCATGTGGATTCTGAACCTTGAATTTTCTCCAAGAAACCAGACTCACAACCTCCCAAAAACATGAGTGGAAACTTTCAGCACCAAAGAAGTTTACTTGGTATAAAGCGTTGCTTAATTTCCTGGTGCTACATTCCTTAGATAAAGAAATTACTATTAGCGGGCTGTAAAAGTGTGATAACATTGTTCAAACAAAAAAAAAGTCGAGGAATCAAAATCCAATGATGGCTGAAAAACAGGAAACTAAAGAGGAAAGCTCGTGAGGCTTTCAGCCTTAACAGCTGATAAATCAAAGCACACACGTTTAGTTCCTGAGAGTCACCATCAACAAGCTGATGGCCGCACTGTGGAAAATCCCATCTGTTTCAGGCCCAGAACACTTGTCCATACAAGACTTGTCTTAATATGATAGGGCAGCTTTTAGAGGGCCTTTACGGTCCATGACCTCACTCTGTAGCGCGCGCACACACACGCGACATTAAAAAAGGAGTAACGAGAACAAAACCAAAGCCCAGGAGTCATTCTTTTGAACGTTACCAGCCAATGCCACATCCAGCTGGAATACTTCGTAACTTTCCACACGGCGGTGTCCGCAAACGCCTCCTCCCCCATCCATCCATGTGTCAAAGCAGCGGGGTCTCGTCAACGCAGCGCCAAACGCTTACGGCGAAGGTTTTGGTGTAGACACGCAGCGTTGTGTCGGCCGGGGAGAGAGTAAAGTTACTGCCACCACGGCACTTGGCACGGCATCGGTGTCCAGGGAGCCCGGTGGCAAAGCGGCGGTCTGCGACGCAGAGTGGAAAAAACTTCCAGACAGCACCACGCTGCTGAACCCTGGATAACCGCACACCTTTTAGCCGCAGGCTCGAGCACACACCGCCTCACACCTACCTCCGTTTCCAGGTCAGCTGTATCACGGTGTCCGGCGTGGTACGACTCGGGGACGCTTGGGTCAAATTTTAAAGCCGCTGTCTGCCGTTTCGACGCGGTGAACAACGTTGCAAGGCAGCCACATACAAAGAATACGTTTCAGCACATAGAGCAGCCGACACGTGATAGATGTGTATCACACACGAACGCCTTACTGAACACAGACAGAATCGCGCTAACAACTCGTTTGGGTGCAAACTTAACCGTAAGTTCCGCGGAGCTCCGAGAAATCCATGCAGCAACTTGCTCGCTCCCGACAGCCCCTGTTGCTTAACTTGTAGCGAGCCAACTACCCAGCTGTGACAACCTCCGTCGAGCCAGTGGCAGCGACAGCGGTAACTTCCGGTTTGGACCTTCGAAATAAATGTAGCAAAAACTAGAATAACACGTTAATGACAATTTATAAAACAAAAACGCCACACAAAAAGAAGATTTCGTTAATTTTATTTAATCAAAGACCTAAAATAACAAATACATTCTTTGCTGTTATTTTTAAAGCGTTTCACAAGAGATATTCACGTTTTTATTTTTTTAAGCAAAAAAAAAGCATCTTCCGGTAGCAGCACCTGTGACGTATGATTTTTCTACTGGCGCTCTCGGGTTTGCTCGTTTTCATGTTCAGGATTTATCTGTTAGCGTTTTCATATCATTAACATTTCTGTATATAAATTGTATTTAACTTTGCCATTTCCAACCAACTGTGGAGAAGCCGAGAAGCTGCGTGTAACAGCTGACTTACCCTTTAAATTCAAATTCTGTCACATACGCAGTATGACACGTGGTGCTTATTGCTGTGCAGCAAGAATTGACCGTAAGATAAAGGGTATAGTACAGTAAGTGATATTTATGTAAATTACACCTTTACTTGACTTTTTACTTTTGCAGAGGATTGTATATTACATCATCCATTACCAATCACCGGTAATACCAGTGTGAAATAATATTTCTGATTGTTATCGCATCAAATAATAATTACATGTTTGTGACTGTACACACACTTTGTACAGCAATTTGGGCAACGTTGTATTTGAAAGCTCATTTAAAAATACATTTTATTTGCTTACTGAATGTATGCAAAAGTACTTTCAGCAGTCCTCTCATTTCTGTGCCTGGACTCTATACACACACACACACACACACACACACACTTGCTTGTGTGTGTAAATTTTTATGCATTTTAAGCTTGTGCACAATCAAAGCCTCCAAGACCAATCCTGAGAATGCTGAACACTTTGCAACACATATTCTTACAGCTTTGTGGCTTCTCAGCCTGGCTGCATGATAAAAACAGTTGCAAGTTTCAACACGGCGCCATTCAAAAATCTCATAACTCTCTCTGGGCACAGCTGATTGCTACACTGTCAACTCTTTTAATCAGCCTAATGCCACCACTGAATGCCGCAGTGGCAAACTTTGTGAGAAACTAAATTGATTATCTGTCTGAAATGGCTCGTAGGCCAACCATTAGACGTGAAGGAATGTAATTCCAATGAATGACATGGATTATTAACTTTAGGGAGATTAGGTCCCCGTGGATAACCAATCAAGAGTAAATACAGCCTGGAGACGAACTCACTAGAAGTGCATCAGTTCTGGCAGACGGGTGGGGGCACAGAAAAACTAATCCTCCAGTGCTGAAGTCTGTCAGAGGCTTATGAGGAATACACCACATCAGTGTAGAGTGTTACTTTATTAAAACATAAAAAAATGTACACAGATAAAGTAAATATACAGAGTGCACATCTGTTTAACATAAAATACAACCGAGCCGTACTTTCAGTGCCGTTCCCCTCACTTAGAATAGATTGAGATGAATTTCAATAGGCAAAACGTTTCCTCCGATAAGCAAAGCGTTCAAGTACAGTTACTCTTTTTCACATTTTTGTCTTTAGGAACAGTGCCATCTACTGTTACGCAGGTGAGGGGGGAGGGGGACCGTACACATTCACACTCCCACAGAGAGTTAGCGGCAGTCGCCTCAACTGTCTGCAATGCAGTACAAAATCACAAGCACACCGCTCATATGAGCAGCAATGCAATTTGTCATTAGGACTAAAAGAGCCAAGTCCATGTCACTGAAGCCACAGCACCACGACATCATGCTGCTAAATCTCACTCGATGGCTGAACTGTAAGATCGTCTGTCACCACAAGAAATTCTTTAAGAATTAAATATGTCAACAGCAAAACTAGCATTCAAGTTTGAGCCCAGATTGGTGATTTTTTCCTGCAATAATCAACATACTGTAAAAAGAAAAAAGTAAAGATATGACAACATGAAGAGTCACAAGTTTTTTACCGTTCAGCCCACTTTACACATTTGGTTGTCTCATTTTTACCGACTTCAAGCAGCTGAATGTGAACAAAGTTGCAGCTTTAAAGGAAAGTGTCTGCAGTGCTGGCAGCTAATGTAATAAAACGCTGTCACCAGAACCACACCCTGGAGACTAAATGATAACTGCAGCAGCTGTTTTAGCGTGCCAGTGAATCCAGTCCTCTTCCAGTCAGAGTGAGTAGCTTTGGAAGGTGCAATAATAGGATAGTTCATCAATTCTTTTGCACTGAATGCCACCATAACTTAATGGTTTTTAAACAAATGGAAGTTATGTCACAAAGTCTCTATATTCATCCTAGTTTAATAAAAACAACACAAAAACCCAAGACTTTACTTGTCTTCATTTGCCCGAATGACCTGAGGTGCAACCAATCAGTGCTTGGAGGTGAGAGTAAGGGTGGAGGAGACGCGGAAGATCTGCGGCAGCATGTTGCTCAACTGGTAGAACATTTCCTCTGAGATGGTCTGTCAGTACAAAGAGACACACAGAGGGGTGACCAGGGTTAGTGGGCGGTTTGCACGGAAACATCTTCTCTCCCTGCGCTGTGATAATGGAAAGATGCTGTTTAAAGTCCTCAAAAAACAAAAGTACAGCTGAATTCTTGGCGTCCAGTCAAGTATTAACAGCCTCTGTGGCGTCCTGAAATGAAGTGAGCTCAGCAGCTGTGACTGGAACAGGGGACACACTCTAAGCACTGCCACCCGTCAAGTAAGAATGTTAAGTAATCCTAAAGCAGAAGCAGTCCCGCAAACACACGGCTTATATTTAGACACAGTATTTCTTTGAGTTGCAGACAACAATGTCGTTTCAGTAGCTGCTATTTTGAATGGTGTCTGAGCATGTAGCTGACAGGAAGCCGGTACAGTCAGAGTCCTTTGATGCCACTCGTTTTATCATCTTATCCTGTCAGCGGGAGCTCATTCTATAGGATCCACCGCCTTCCTGACAAACCGCAAAAACTCTGCACGTATAGCTTCGCAAATAGTAACGGCCGTGATTCATCCTGCACGGCAAGCTTAAATCTAAATATAACAGAAAACCTCGCTTCAAAGTTAACCCCGAATCTTTTTCCCTTTCCTTTATAACAAATTAACATAAGACCTGGATTTCCAACAAAGTGAAAGTGATTACACCTCAGTGTTGGCAAGCTGCACACTAATCCCATTGCTTATCACACATTTATGTGATTGAGTCTCTGAGCTTTCTTTTATCACAGCAGTGCAAATATGGAGCTAAAATATCCTAAAGCTCTGTAATCTATGATTTATGGCACGCTTTTCAAGCAGTCAACTCTTCGTAGTGTGCACTCGGAGACATGCACTGCAAGGCCAGGTGTGCCTTTTGTTACATTATGTACGTGCGAGGCCTTAAGTATACAATTCTTTAGAAGAAGCATGAAGCATTGCCGGAAGGCAGACACTCAGAGAACAGCAGTGTATCCACAGGTACACGTTTTGAAGCCTGAATAACTGATCTCACCTTTGGCACTAGAAACTGGACTGTGCGTGATACACCGCCGTCCCACGAGGCCATTTCCATCATAAAACCTGCAAAGAAAATTTAGCATGAATATGACCATTCATTCTTACATTGCTGCATGCAATGTTAAGTGCAATTATTGTGTATTAATACATAATAAAGTAACACAGTATTAAGGATTCTGTATATTTATGTTTGACAGACGGTTGAACAAACAAGAAAAAACCCACCAAATGACCAACATGTTACCTTTGACACATTTGAATACGAGCTCCGCCCTTTTAAGACACCACGGTATGGTCATCTCCTGCAATGAACAGAGAAGGTTGGTGTGAAATGAGACACACGGCGGTGAACTCAGACTGACGTACGACTTCGTTTCAAAGACTTCATGTAGCACCACCATCACCTGCAGCGTACGAGCTCCACAGACCAAACAGGAAAAATAATGTGATCAGTTTTTGTAATGTGAAACAATGTTTCAAAAGACTTTTTCTCTCATTTCTTTCAAATTTGTAACATTTTTAACGTTCTCGTATTACTTCTATCTGTGCTACAGTTCAAACATGATAAGAGAAAGAAAAGCAAACGAGTTGGTGGTGAATGATGTTACGGGTTAAAGTACACAGATACTGTTTCCACAATATTACTCCACACAGAGCTGAATGCCGTCCTACACACTACAGAGCAGAGAGAACCTGTTATATGATGCGTCTGTGTGTCAAATCCAAAGCTTCTTATTAGGCAGCTATGTCTAAACTGATGTTGTCAAAATGTTCTTTGTGCTAAATCAAACACTTCTATTTCCTTTCAGCTTTGAGTGTACTCCGCTGCAGTTTGTGCACAGTGATCTCATCTTGCAAACTACCTGTTCTCACCGCAAGGAGTGTAACAGAGAGTCTTTGCCACAACGCACACTCTTGTTTACTTGTACGTTTTGTATTTGGATAAGCTGCACAGGCTTTAGTGAGGGATTTCTGAATATTCATTCAGCTTTTTGGTAGGACTGAAGCGTAAACAGGAGCACTGAAGGCGACTGTGGCGTTTGCCAAACAGTTTGAGGCAAGAACAAAAGTCTTTCTTACAGCCAGGAAAATGAACACAGCAGTCGTGAAACAGTCAACGTCTGCAAAGCGGCTCCAAATGAACCCAGTTTTCAGTTTTATCTGCACAAACCTTTAACCATATATTATAGTGACACTGAGCATTTATTATGTGAACCTCTTTCCTCAAACTTCAAAGGAAAAAGAAAAACCAAAATAAGAACAAGAGCAACAGCCGTGCTGGATTTGGACTGTGGTCTGTAGTTCATGTAGACAAACTAAACCAGTTGTTGTAACACTACAATAGACTTGTACAAACAGGCAAACGTCTGTGCTCAAAAGGGAAATGCCTGAAAAAGAAGCTGGCAGATGGAAAGTTTTGAAATGAGAAGCCTTCAATTAAGTATCCTCTGCTTCTCGAGGCTCCAAAACTTTCGTTTTATGAATCTAAAGACTGTTGATTAGG